AAAAAAAAAAAAAAAAAAATCTCACAACTGGAGAAATGCTATTGTAGGAATACCACTGCCCTTTAATTTACACCTCTGATGTTACTCTTTACTATTTCAATAAAGTCTCACAAATTTGTAAGTTATTTTTCATTGATTACTAATCAAAATATGTACCAAACCATCTTTGTACTCTGCTAGATGTATTAAGACATTCCCTTCTGACAATTTTAACCACTTCTTTCTTGAAATATACTCACAATTTTGCCAGGAAAACATGATATGTTAATGTTAAAAGCAACTCTGTGGCAGTGCTGTGGAAGTTACTAGAAGACCTTTTGGTAAGGGAGTCAGAGAGGTAGATTTTAAATTGGATTTTTGAAAAGGAAAGGGGATATTTCAGGCAGGAGAAAAGTTTCTTCAGTGGCACAGAAGAACAAACGTATCATGGTATGTTAAGTCACTTTGCTAGGATGAAAATTCATGAAGGGGAATAGTGTATGGTCTAAACTCCTGGAGAGCAGGGACAATCTTGTTTCTTGGTATTCTTTCTTTGTAGCACAGTATTTGATACATTAGTGCTAAAAATGTTAAATTAATAAAGTCATATACATTTTGAGGGCATACTTTCACTCATGCTAGATTGTCAGAAAATGTTCTGTAAAATTAATGAATAGAAAAGAAAAGGAAGGATGAAGTGATTTAAAGGCAGAGAAAAAGAATGAAAGGTAAATTGTTGCCAGATTGTAGAGTCCTCTAGTGGCAGTCTAAATTTGGACTTTATTCTGTGTCGGAATCTTCCAGAAGAGTGGCATAATAAATTTGATGCTGTGCATCAAGATAAACGGACTTAACTATAGTGTGTGAACAGGTTTGAAAAAGAAAAGTTTAGGGAGGGGGAGACCACTACTGGTGGTCTAATTTTAATATTTCAAACAGCTGCTGATTAAAGATAGGTTGTTTGGACAGTTGTCATGGAAATAAGCCCCGCCCCTTAAGCCTCCTCCTCACTTCGACCTGTCAGTAAGGGAGGGACAGTCCAGGCAGTTCTGTGCGTGTTCATCGTTTAGTAGTACTCAAAGCTGCCAGTGTGAGAGGATTTGGAAATCACGGGATCTGCTCAATATGAAAATGTTTTTTCGAGTCTTTCTCCATTTTATCAGGAGTCTTTCTGCCACTGCAGTGAATTTCCTTCCTGTGATGGTGCACCCGCTCCCAGGTAGGGGGTTTGCCCCTTTCTCCTCCTCATCCTCCTCTTCTTGCCAGTCTGCACTTAGAATTCTGTGCCACTTTCCTGAAGACTGTTGGGAGCTTCTGAAGCTTTCCGTCCTGTGTGCCTCAGATTAGACAGCAATTCCACAGAGTCCCGGAAGTTAAAGAAGGCTGAGTTAGGATTGTTTCCTCATGGTCAGGGAAACAGCCTTCACATTTGCATATTTTATGCAGTATTTAGGACAGGATTCAGGGGCTTGGGATTCTTTGGGATTTGCAATAAGAAGAATATTCAATATTTAGGCTTTTCTAAATTGAAAAATCGCTGCCACACGTTCTAATGTAATTGTTTGGTTTCTCTATTTGCATTTTGCGGGGACTGCCTTAAAACTCATTTATTGTTTTATAGCCTTCTATTATGGCTACCATTGTTACATGATTTTATTTATAGAAATTGGCTGATCTAGAACTTTCAGAAATCATACTAATATGCACTATAAATTTTAAAATTACTTAATGTAGTAATTTAATGTTTGCAGTATGCAAGGGAATGTATTACGTACTGGAAGGAGAGGGGAGACAAACACCAGACCCTGTACTCAAGGAGTACTGGTAGTATCATTTATCATACAAGACAGATAAGATAAGGTCCATAAACAGAGCTATAAACAGATGCTGTGAGTTCAGACTAAGGAGAATCAGTTCTTGCTGTAGGTAAGGCGAATGCTGTGTTTATAAAGCAAATGACATGGAAACTGGATCTTGAAGGATGAGTTAGGTGAGTGAATGTCATCTGAAGGAGTTGGGAAATATCCTAGATGAAGAAAATTGATTTGGAAGGGGGGAAATTAAAAATTCTATTTTGACATGTTGAAGGTCACCTGCCAGAAGTAATTGGTGAAATTAAGAGACTAGATGAGATTGCCAAGGGAGAGTGCTGAGATTAAAGATCCAAGGTAGGACCTTAGGAACATTCATGAAGTGATAAGGGAGACAAGGAGCCCCTAAAGGGAATTAACATTTGGAAAGCATCCAGTATCTTTATATTTGATTATGATGACAGACATAAACAGGAAGTATTAATCTCCTTTTATTTCCATTTTATCATTGAAAAACCTGAGGCTCAGAGACATTAAGTAACTTGCTCAAGGTTGTCAGCTAATAAGTAACAAAACTATCAGAATGCAGAGAGTAGTTATAGGGCAACAGGAAAGTTAGAATAGGACAATGTCTCAGAAGCTATGAATAGAAAGGAGTTTAAGAAAGTTGTTAACATCAAATTCTATTGAAACTTTGAAGATCATGTAGCAGACTACGAACAGCATGCTATGGAGTATACAACATATAGACATGTAAATATTTTCTACAATGTGAAATGCTTAAATTTGTGTATCTCTACTTAGACAAATGCCCAATTAGGCCATTCAATTTACTTAAAAAAGTAAGATGAGTAAATTACATACCTGACCTTAGGGAATTTATTTTAATCTGAGAATAAGATAAATATGCATAATGTTAATAAAAATAGAGTAAGATGAATAGCTGAGAGTTTTTCCTTCTCTATCTTTTCAAAGCATCCTCTTTGTACTTCTTATACTGTACTTCCCAAATTTTAGTATGCCTAAGAACACCTGCTTGCCCTTCCCAAGCGATTCTGATTTATTAGGACCAGAATGGAGTCCAGGAAACTGCATTTTAGCAGTAACACCAGGTATTTCTGTTGCAAGTAGTCCTGTACCAGACTCTGAGAAACAATGCGGAAATAAAACACTTACAGTGTCAGTGATCTGTTTACTAGGCAGTCAGTTCTTTTATTTCAGGGTTCTAATGCTTTTTATCCCTTAGCAGTACCAAGTGCTTTGTCAAATGAATAAAATAAAGAAGATATTACACCTTATTGGACTATCATTAAAAGCTATGTAAATATAATAATA